ACGGCCTAGTCACAGAATGAGCAATGGCTTTTCTTTTTACTGCATTCTCAGAGGCAAGCATGGTCAGACAGAGGCAAGCAGGGATGTCAAAAATGCCTGTGTTCTCATTCAGCTGGTGATCTGGTGATCCTGGCTTCAGGCAGGGCTTAATGGCTACGCTGGTTTTTCCAATTTTAAAGTATAGTTGTTACTATGAATACCCGAATATGACTAGTTATTTATTCTAAGCTGAGGATTTCCATTTGCTCTAAGGCAGTGGTTCTCAACCTTTTGGGTTCAAGTGAACTTTTCATAGGGGTTGCCTAAGTCCGTCAGAAACACAGATATTTGCATTATGATTCCTAAAAGCAAATGAAGTAGCAGTGAAAATAATTTTATGGCTGGGTATCACTACAACATGAGGGACTGTATCAAAGGACTGCAGCATTGGGAAGGTTGAGAATCACTGGTCTAGTGCATCAGGTCACAATAACTGTGTGGGAGAAAACACTAGCCATAAGAAACAACTTTGTCCCAACCTGGAGTGAAACATAGAACTTAACTCAATTCTTGCCTTTTTTACAGTATATTTTGGTTTTGCTTTGTTTGCCTTGTCATGTGCCCTGCCCTCTGAGTTACTGTATTTTATGTGTATGAGTGTTATGTGTTTAAGCACGTATGTCTGGTGCCCATGGAGATCAGAAAAGAGCATCAGTTTTAGGACACCCTGGAACTGGTGTCTTGGCCACTGTAAGCCACTATGTGGATGCTGTGAAGTGAACCTGTGTTCTCTGTAAGAATAAGTGCTCTTAATTGATGAACCACCTCTCCATCTCCTTGCTTACTCTCTTGATCTTCCCTGTGCTATCTATTCTTGAACTAGTAGCACTCAGTACATTGGAATTTCTTAATGTTTCTGCTCATTATTAACTTAACAACGAGGCTTTTTATATTATTCTTTCCTAAAATATCTCCCCTCTCCATAAAGTTTAATGCCAGAGATATGCTTATGGTCTCTTTATATGCTGAACTGCTGCAGTGGGCCACACACTGTTGTGAATCTAGGCTTTTATTTTCCCCAAGACTCAGTGCTCATTTGCCTTGGGACAATATATCTCTTACTATGGACATTGGGTATATATGGCTTTCAAAGTGCGTTCAGAGCTAAAGCCAGTTTCTACTCAGACAGGTTAACTGATGTTTCTAAAGAGACATAGAATAGCACAAGAAACTTTATAAGTCCAGATACTTCAACATGACCTGAAAACTACATATTCCCTGGGGAAGGAGACATGTCACTCTTCCATTATGACCAAGTCTAGGGATGACAACATTCCTACATGGGCCCTAAGCTCAGTATAGTCACAACTGTAACCTTGATTCATCTCCGATGGGAAATGACAACAAAGACACACTTATCAGCCAACAAGCAAAGGGTTAAGTCAAGAGGATCAGAACACATTGTGTGACATTCTCAAGGAACTAAGTGGTATGTAGAAAAAAAAATTAAAGCCATAATTAAAGGGAGCACCATGGCTCTGGCGCAGCAGCTTCAGATGTAGAGATGTGACCACCAGGGTCAGATGATCAACAGTGGCAAAGAGACATAATGGATGCAGAGTTTGCATTAATAAAGTGGAATGATGTGTGTACAAATGCACAGGGTACGGCTGGTATGGATGGAGTGAGATGATGATGTGTAGGTCCCCATGGAAACAATGCAGCTTCAGCCTTTTCGGACTTCTTGAGCTTGGTGGACCAAATCTTCTGACTTTCTAAATTTTATATAGAACCTTCCAACTTATTACTGTGGGTTTAAAGTTTTAAACCTTCATGATCCTAAAAGAAGTGTATTTCCAGTGCACATAGGACTGTGGTACACTTCTAAATTATGTGTACAAACTGGTAACAAACCATGAGCAATGAGCTAAAGAACCTCACATATAACTCCAGATAAAGACAGAGACAAGGAATCCATTCTTTGATCCAGTGTATCCACAGCACCCAGGTCAACAGACCAATATAGTAAGTCATTATACACAAAGATCACTGTCTCTTGATCTTCACCATTTAAGAAAAACTGGAGACTAGTATACTCAATTACATAATGAAATCAAATGGTACTCTTCCATGCCCACCGAGAGGAACCCCCTCTGGATTTTATTATACTGTGTATATGAGAGACCTCTACTCATCACCAATTTCATTCATCCTTAATGATTTAGTGATGGTACATTTCCTACCCAATTAGGCAATATGCAGCACTGCTCAACCAATAGTAAGTTTATAGATGAACTAAAATATGTAAGCACACCTATCTTTTTTGATTGCATAGAAATGTATAAGTTAAATCCCAACTTTTAAGTCCAGTGACCTGGCATGTGCTCAACCACAGACAATGTCATTATGGCTAGGTATATTTCAAGTTAGTCTTCTACCAGGCACAGTGGTGCTTCTAAGGAGGCTGTGTCAGCTGCATTCCCTAGTTTAAGACCATTGCCAGCTGTTTCCAGTGATTATTTCTCACTTTTTATATCATGATTGTAACAAATAATGAATCCATAGCTTTGTATTTTTCTGACATTATAAATTCACAGAAGCAGAGTCACTCACGGGGAGGCTCAGGTTTTATAGTAATGAGAGGGTCAAGACCGATACACAGGGCAAACTCAGTGTGGAAGGAATGGTCTTGTTTATAAATTCCTTAGATAAGAGCCATGTGATAGGAATAAACTTCCAGAATACAAGGGATTTGTCTTAGAAGTACTGGAAGTCGATGTAAACTGGCACAGGGCACTGAAAATCACAAAGGCTGACTACGCTTACCCATGAGCTAGCTCTGATAGAGGAAACGCACAAGAACAAATGAGCAAACTGCCTGACTGAGAGTTAGTTCTTTTAGACTGGTCAACTGTATGACTACTGAACTGGATGCTCTCTCTACATGAAGCCACACAGATGATAACGTCTGGACAGGAATCCAGGCAGGTATGGTGAGAGAACTATTATTAAAGGGAGGGCTCTTCACTGCAGTAGGTCTCCACAGAGTTATTTCAAATTTCTGTTTCTAGGCATGACAGCACTGGGGAGGCTGAAGCAGGAGGATCTCAAATTTAAGGTTGACTTGGGCTGTACAGGGAAACTCTGTCTCCAAAAGCCAAAACAAACAGTAACGTAAAAAGCCAGCAAAGCCGAGAAGCTATGAGTCTCCGCTTTCATCACTGGCATGGCTGAGATGGTTCTACCTGCTGTTACTATCAGAATGAAACTTAACAAAAAAATTTTGCTCTTGTATTGGACTGAGACAGACCTTGAATATAAGGCCATGAAAAGTTCTTGGTTGCTGAAGCAGTCTTTTGTGTTCTGTTGGTTCAAAACAGAAGTCTGGATCAGGCTGCAGCAAATGAGAGAAATAAGGGCAGTAGGTGATGAGGAGTGTCCTAGAGTCGAATTTCTACTGTTGCTATGGTCTTTTACCTGGTTCATGCTTACTGGATATGCTCATGGATACGCTTAGTGTTTCACAGTAGTGAACAATATGGAATGGTACTGCAAATAACAGGGCGCTTCTCTGGAAGTATTTGAATCAGTTTATTTTCTAAAATAAAAGGTTGGTAAACTATACTGAGTTCTCTTTAATTTGAAGAAATTAAAAGTCTGAAAGCCACTGCTCTGTGTGACTCAGTATACTGGTCTAATTATCTGTAGGGAGGTTCCTTACTGTTTGGATGAAGCCCTGGCCAGGAAAAGATCAGGATAGGGAGAACAGAGGATAAGCATTGTGGCTCAGCCTCCCTGAATGAATGGCTCTGCTGTTTACTGACCCTGGATCCTCCCACCTACCTACCCTTGGTTCACTGAGAACTTTTCAAGCACTGCCCCAATGAATCCAAGAGTCAGAGCATGACTCTGACCAGAGAAACTGACATATAAAAACATGGCACCTTCGGCTGAGAGGCCAACATTTGATAAAATGAGGTTTGATGGGCCCTTTTACTTCTGTCTACTCCCCAGGCATATAGTATAGAGCAAAGAAAGGAGAGACAGATAGCTGAGGGGCTATTCTTCCACAACCTTCACCTTTCCTCTATTATGTCTGCATCATAAAGTGTATATCACTAGCCTTCCTTCACAACCATCTTCTATCATAGTCTTTACACACCCGTGCACACACACGCATTCCGCCTCAGCTTTACTCTTCTACATAGAAGGTAAGTCCAAGAGAGGTCTTACACGATCCCCTTTGTTGTAGTCAAGATTGCTGTTACTGGGCTGCAGGGCCAAACCAACTGATGCGCCAAACTCTACCAATACACTGGTTAATACTTCTTGAAAGTGATTTTAGATTCAGAAGGCCAGGAAACTCAGTTACTTCCAAAAGAAATCTTTTTTTCAATAAGATTGGAAAACTAACCCAACGAAGCATGCTACCCAATAAGGAAGGCTTGTAAAAGTGAGAACTGGAGACAGCAAAAACCCATCTTAAAATTCTGAGATCTATCACAGTTTCTCTCAGGGGGTTGGTCAAAGTTAAAGGCCAGAAGGCTGTTTTATCGCTTTGCACCCAACAAATACTCTGTGAAGAATCTTGGATCAAAATTTACTTCAGTTTTTCTTTAGAAAAAAAAAAAACTACTGGGCTAGAAACTGGAAAGGTAAAGGCATTTGATACTATGCCCATAGCCTCAAGTTGGATTCCCAGGGCCCAAACAGTAAGAAGCCAAGAATTGATTTCTGCAAGTTTTTCTTTGATCTCGTGTGTGTGTGTGTGTGTGTGTGTGTGTGTGTGTGTGTATGCGTGCGCGTACACATGCATATACACAAATAAATAAAAGTTAAAAGGCAATAATAGAAGAATCTGATTAACATTCTATTTAATTATCTGAGTGACCTGCTGTCAGGAGAGCCATTGCCATTGGCATTGATTTCCTGGTCATTTTCTCCAGGTCTAAGCACACACACAGTATCTGCTGTGACCTCAGGTACAGGGTACCTAAGGCTGGGGCTGGGGAGACACTGACCTGCACAGGCTCAGGCGGGAGCTGGACTACGTGCTGCATGCGTTCACTGTGGTGATGTCGAGATTCTTCCTCATAGATCACATCCCTCTCATGCTGGGGAAGATTCAGGAAACGGCGGATGGTGCAGAGATTCTCCCAAAGGGTGCGGTTTTCTGGGCTGGGGTTCTCCTTCCAACGAAGCAGTTCACAAAGCCAGCCCTGGAGGGAAGGAGATCATGAGAGTTAGGACTGCAGGGTGTAGAACAGTTCCAAGTCAACTCCCGTCCCCAAACCATGATAATGCAATGCAATGATGGCTTATATGAAAATAATACAGAGGCATGTCATTATTATACCAGAATTATTCCTACCAATGGTAGAAGCCACTGAAATGGCCCAACTCTTAAATCTATCCAGTGACCATGTTGGTACTTAGGCCAATGGTCAAGAGTCTCCACACTTTTCGTTTTTACTTTCCACATTATTATTATTGTTGTTGTTATTTTGAGATAAGCCCAGGCTAGCCTCAGATTCAAGGCATAGTCAAGGATAACCTTCAATTTCTGATCCTTTTGCTTACAACTCCCAAGTACTAGGATTACAGGCTTGTATTACAATGTCTGCTTATAGAATGGAGAGGCCTGGAGCTCAAACTCAGGACTTCCCACATGTTGGGCAAGCACTCTACCAACTGGGCTATATCCCCAGCCACAAGAATCTTTATTCCTATTGAACTTTCTTAACACCTTCCTATAGAATACATTCTCAGTGAATTTCTTAACAATCCATATAACAGAATCTTCTAGATGTACAAATGAGATTACAGTTACCCCTTCTCCAAAAAAGAATTTTTTTTATTTTCAGCCATAATTTTTGTTTACAAATTACCCAACTGGTGGTTAGTGTTCTACTCTAAGAAGAGAAGAAAGACAAACATGCATATATTATGAGATGGCAAATTTAAAAAAAACAAAACAAAACAGAATATCTTGGATGTCAACAGCACTGGGTCCTCTAGGGAGTTACTGTTCTTCTAATCATTAGTAACCCTGCACATAGAAACAACAGCCTCGGCTAGAATCAGAGCAAGGTGTATTTGCTTCATCTATGAGCACGCTGGGCTCACAGCTCCCTTAGCCATCATCTTCCCTCCGTGGCCACACCTGCAGGAAGGGAGACAGTGGGTCAGCCTGCACCTGCAATGCCTTGTTCCAACCCTGCCATCCGGATGTTCCCTCTCTTACAACTGCATGAGGAAGGAAATGCAATGCAAATGATGGCTTATATGAAAATAATCCAGAGGCTGTCAACATCGCTCACTGACTCATGTCAAAATATTTTACCCAGTAGCTTTCTAACCCATCACTTGCAAGCTACGTCGCTAATTTTAAAACCAAGAACTGTCCCACAATTCATCTCTTGCAAAGGGGTAGAATTTTTTTTTTCTTAAAAGGTGCATAAACACAACTGACTTTGTGAGAAACAAATCCCAAGCCTCCGCACACTCTCCATCATCACTTGTAAGCCAACGAAAGCTCCTGACACGCATCGTAAAAACCCCATATAATATCATAAGCTGTTGTTTGTCTAACTCTCCACTGTGTCTTCTGCCTTTACCCAAAAAAAGGCAAGATTTGATTATCTCCGCTGCATCAGCCAAGACAGCAACACCAGCTGTTCTCATTGTGCAGCCTCCTCCTCGCGGCCTCCATGTTAATAACCTGATCATTCCATTTTCCCCTTCAACTGCCGGCTGCAGCACTGAGAGGAGACAAAAACCCAGGCCTGTGTGCAGCAGCTGTGGGCACTGAACTGTGAAGCCACTGGGGATTTATAAACTAATCTGTAACACAACACTGCCTTGTTTTTACAAGTGAGAGGCCACATTTGCGCAGACCTGAGCTTTTCTTGCAATAAACTGGGAGCTTGGGAGAGTTAGAGAGTTAGGAAGAATGAAAACAAGGTATCTTACCATTTGCTTGCAAATGTTTTTTCCAAGTACTTCTATAGTCCCTCCCCTGACAACTCAAGAGACAGGTAGTGGTTAATTTTCAAGTGCCATGCACATGAAAAATGAAGATAAATTTTTATCACTACCAGAAAATAAATTATATTTTAATAAAAATCTCCTGGTCCCAAAGTGTTTTCTCGGGAGGTTCTTTATACAAAGGAAAGAATTCTTGAGATGGAAAATAAGCCATCTGTGGAAAAATTAAGCTCCCATTTCTGTGTCTTTTCACAGATCTGAATAAGTCTCTTGTGAACTCTTTCAAATGTTTCAAACAGGTATGTTTAACATCTCCCAGGGGAGGCAATAGCATGGAGACCAATCACCGAATGGAAAATAAAAACAAAAACCTACATCTGTTAAAAGATGAAGCTCTGAGATAGCCAGACCTTAAGGAAGACAGCACCTGCTGTTCTGCTTCAAGGATGCATTGCATTGTGGGAAGCCGCAGCTTGAAGGAAGACAGGTGACAGCTGAGTGGTATCTCCACTTATGACACTTGGAATGTCTCGCACAACATCCATTGCCACGTTTGATTTATATGCGCTGTTATAATCTGTGCTCATTACACTCACTTAGAACACCAGAGGCTTGTTATGGACTGTGTGCTATCTGCCATCGGTCTTTAAGAAGTGTAGTGCTCAATTTGCCCACTGACATGCAAGGTCTTGACCTTGAAGCTATTAGGGAGTGGATTAGACACAAGTGTGATCATGTGTACAGACATAAGCAAACCAAATTAATTTCTGGCATAAGGAAGTAGCCAGCAAGGCCCTGTTCTTAGGGCAGCAGAGAACTTCCTCAAATCCCTGATGGGCTGAGCTAATGGCATGTTTAAGGGAACCCAGTTTGGAAGATGAAGCACATTCATGGTATTTAGAGGGTTATTAATCAAGTTTCCCCACAAAGTGTTTGCTTGGCTGATCAGATTAAGGGAGGGAGCCTTCAACAGTGCACCCCCACCACAGCAGGCCCCAAGAAATCTGTGATACTTCACAGCCTTGGCCATATTGCACCATGTGTACCCAGCTGCTTCAATAATTAGCTTATGAATGTATCAGCTGGTTCTGTGATTTTTATAAATAATAACTAACCCACAGAGCAGAAAGCTTGTTGAGAGCCTGCACTAGCACAAAGTGGTGAGGAGCCCCTAACTCTAATTTGCTCTACAAAATGCTGATATTCCCACCAGCAGGACTCCTGTGATGCCATTTATAAATATTTATTTCTTATCTGAAATAGCAGTGCATTCTTTGGCCAATGTTCTTCTCAGTAGCCACGATTTGCTGTCTCCTGACTCACTTGCTTCCTCTGCACATTTGCATGCTAGCCTCCCTCCTCACCTCCCATCCCACCCAGCATCTTTTTGTTCACACCATCCCTCCAGGAGGCCGTTTGGGCACTGGCTCCTTTTTCTCAACAGGGCCTCATATTTGCTTGTCTAGTGGCTAATGGTCATGTAAAGAAGTGTCATGCTCTTGCATGAACATATCTGTACCTGTGTAACTGTGAGTAAACCCATCACTGAAGAAATAAAGGGTCCCTATGTTGAGATTTTTTTCATTTATATAATTTTTGCATACCATCCAAGAAAGTTTTGCAGTATCAGGCAAAAAAAAAAAAGTGTAAATGTCAAATAAAACAGTGACAGATGACTGTATTCTCTATTGAATAGCACTGTTTCTGTCATGCATGTTCAATGGGAACTCATGAATTATTAATAAACAAATCTCCTTTTTCTGTTAAAAATCTCAAGTAGGTTTTTTGTTGTTGCTCCCTGTGTGTTGTGTGGAACATTCCTGAAGTATTTTTATTTTCAAACACTGACACAGTTCATCTGATCTCCAGCCTCCAACAGCTCCTTCCTATCCTTCTCTGTGGCTTCCCTCTTATTCTAAGCCTGATTTTAAGTTCTGATTGGATATTAGCTGAATATTCAGACAGCCCAGTTAATGTTTATAGTCTAATAAACTGGGATTCTGTGAGTTTCACGGGTGCGAGCATGGCTCAGAATGGCAGATAGCATTCACATTTGCAGCCCTGAAGATCTGACTTCTCAGTTCTTGCCCTGCCCTGAAATGCTTGGGCAATCCTGGAGTAGGTGGCTGCTCTGCTGAAGATTTGAAGTATTATGAGCCTCAAAAAAAAAAAAAAAAGAAAAAGAAATGGTGGTGTCCCCTGCTTCTTATCTCCATGATCAGTTATCTCATTCCTGTCATGAACAGCAGATAGTAATTAGCTGTCAGAGTTCAAAAATACAAGGAAGAAACGACCTTGACCAATTGGCTAATAAATGTGTAAGGAAGTGCCAATTGGTCAAGGCCAGCTTCTCTACTGAAGCTGCACTGACTCCATGACCACTGTCACAAAACATACCACAAAAGGCAGACTGTCACATGACATACCACACAGGGCAGACTGTCATTCAGAAGGTGGTCTTGGCCCAAATTCATAACCTCAGCCAAATGATAAAACAAACAAACAAACAAACAAACAAACCCAAACCAAGAGAAGCTTGATTCAATAATCAGTCAGTACTCTTCAGATGTAGCCATAAAAAATGAGGGAAGAATCAAAGAGTAAAGACTAATAAAAATCACCAACCAGATCTGGGCTTCCAAGAAAAACATGGGAAGAAGAACTAAGGCAACAGGATCATATTTTCCATATGAGAGCTGCTAATTTCCTGGTTTTGTTGATTGCACTGCTATAAAATTTCTCTACAGTGATGGACAATGTCAACATTAAGGAAACGAGCTGGCGTAAGGGTGGGATATAACACAGCACCATTAGTTCTATGCTTTTTCTTGTAAACATTGCTGTGTCCAAAATGAATAAAAATAAGTTTAAAAACTTCCAGAAAGCACTAGAATTTACATATGAAAATATACAAGGAGCCCATGAATATGATTCAAGAGAATTCATCTTTCCAGTGGGACCCAGGGGAGGGGGTGGCAGTTCAAAGACTGATTCCTGGCAACCAATGGTTAATGAGTTCCTAAACACTCAGAAAATAAGCAAATAGTATTTATTAACATTATATTTCAGCCATCTCTTCAGCCTCTTAAGTAAATTTCCCTCGGTAGCAAAAACAAGTCTGATGACCCTCTCTAAATCTGCAGGTGAGGAGACACTCACACCAGTCAAGGTATCATTTGTTTACAATCCACATGTCCCAGAGAGTTGGATGCCAATCTAAATTTACAAAGCA